AGGTACGGTCCATCGCACCCTTGGCTCTTCAGTCACAACAAATTCCTCTGGGGAAGGTGTAAGACGTCCTCCGACCTGTGCTGGAAGCCGGAGTTCCTGTCGCCCTTCTGCAGCCTCTTCCCCTTCCAGTCCCTCAAGACGGTCCGACTCAGGCTCAATCTCACGGAGGAACTGCTGGAGGACAAGAAGTAGGCCTTTTGTTTACTCTCTTCTCGTGGATAGAAATCAGCTGACTGGACATGTCTAAATCGTGTGATGCGTCGTAGGCCTTTGTTTACTCTCTTTTTCTGGATTGAAATCATCAGCTGACTGGACATGTTACCAACACGTCTTAATCGTGCGTTGCGTTCGCAGGTTGGGCGTGCGGCTGCTGTATCTGGTGCGGGATCCTCGGGGCACCTTGCAGTCTCGTCGGCACAGGGAGTGGTGTCCTGGGAAGAAGGACTGCGACGACCCTGAGACGCTTTGCGAGGACCTGATCAGGGACTACATCACGGCGACGGTCTTCAGGAGGAAGTTCCCCGAGTCCTTCAGGTATTATTATTTTGCCTCTCCTTTGCTCTTTGTTTTCGTTGATTTTTCTTCTTCTTTTTTTTCCTGTTTAATTGAACATCTTAATTTGTTTATTGATTATAAAAGTAGTTAAGGTTGATAAGAAAGATAATGATGATAATAAAACTACTACTACTATGATAATGATAATAATACTAATTACCATAAAAGTAACTAGGATGATGATAACAAAAACATTAATGATAATCATAATGATAGTGATAATGATTACAATAATAATAATAGTGATAGTGATAGTGAAAATGATACTACTACTATTGCTAATGATAATGATAACATAATTAAGATATCAGAAATATAAAAGTTATATTAATAGGGGGTTATGATAATAGCAATGTAAAAAAATATATCAATGATTACGATGATGATAATTATAAGGTAGTAGTAGTAGTAGTAGCAATAATGATGATAATGATTGTAATAATAATAGTAATAATAATAATAATAAGTATACAAAATTATTAATATAAATGTAGATAATAATGATGATGATGAAAATAAAGATAATAATAGTAATGATAAAGGTATTAATAATAATGAAAAATATTGATATTAATAATCATGATGATAATGACAATAGAAACAATAGTGATAATAATGATAATAATACTGATAATAATAATGCATAATACTGATTATTAATACTAATACTAATGCTGGTAACAATAATAACAACAGACAAAAATAATAATGATATTAACAAAAATGATGAAAATAATGTTGGAAATAATAATATTGTGATATTGTTCTTTGCACTATTAATATTATTTATTACTGGCGTGAGTTCAGATGTTTAGATGTCTTTGAAGGCATTAAAAACAAAATTAATTATCCAATTTTCAAAATAAACCAATGATTCTTTAAGCGTCGTTTCCAGTGACCATAAAAAGCAAAGCAATAATTCTTTAAACTAATTCATCGCTAAATAAAATGAATTCGTAAAATTGTTGTTATAAGCACACTGCTTGTTAAACGCGTGGTGAATTGCGTAAATTGATAACTCAATAAAGTTGATGCGTATAAGATAAAAACCATATATAGAAATAATTCACAAAACAGGACCGCGTCGATCTGAAGGAGAGAGAAAAACAAAACAAAAACAGAAGTCAGATATTTTAGTCGTTTTCTTCGTGTTTGATTCATGAAAAAGGACAAGTAGAATAACAAATGGGAAGAACATATTCGTGTGTTTCCTCGTTCTTCCCTTCGTTGTTTCTTCTTGCAAGGGGTAAATGACACAATATATCTAGACCTGATTGAGAAAAAAATCACAACCCCATTCCATCACTGAAGCTGAACGGTTTTGGAATAAGATCTAGGAAGAGAATCAACATAATAGAAATGCCAAGTTGCTCAGTGATCTAGAAAAACATGAACGCATGTTGCATAAAGGAAATGGACCGATATAACGGCCGACGAAACAGCCAGAGCAATCAATAAAACTAGCCACTGCCCGGCTGCAAGATGCGACAGAACTGCTACTTCCTGGAGCAAGCAGTTGACCGGTTTGCATGGAAATCTTGCAAAAGCACAGTTACATCATCAAGCACCCTGATCAACGCACCATTGAACCACAGAAGGGATACTTAATGGTTAATGATTAATATTGTAAACAAATGAATGTGCTAACCCCCACCATAGAGATAGATCACAGGCAAACCCTAAATATCTAACGACTGATAACATGCCATTGCTGCAAAGAATCTTGAAATTCATTATTACGGTGTGAACTTACACTTTCCTCGGGAACAATAGATTACAAATTAATGCACAAAAATGTTGTGAACGTAGAAGCTATGATTGCAAAGATCAGCTGCTTATTTGCATATCAATCCTCGAAGAAATGAAAGGTAGATCTAAAAATCTATCAACGCTACGCCTAGAAAAAAAAAAAAAAAAAAAAAAAAAAAAAAAAAAAAAAAATATA